ACTTCTCGGTCACCTGAAGCCTGATTCAGCCTCAGGTACCTCCAGGGGCTTCTCGAGTTCATCGACAAGACGATCGACAAGAAGGGCGAGGTCGTGGATGTCCAGGCCAAATCAGACATGCATGTTGCAGTGTGCAGCTCACCGCAGCGCATCAAAACCTTCAGGCACTTTCCGGATTGCTATTGCCTTTATATAGCTTTTAAGGCTGCCACCACGCTGATTTTGCTTCTGGGTGCATTTCCAATGCCAGAGCTACTTTTAGCCATGTCATGAAAGCAGAACTCTCAATACCGGGACCGATCCTTCAATGATCAAAGCGACTGCCCATCCAGGCGAACTGAGAGTCAGTCTCGACGACAGGGACTTCTCTCCTTCTCACTGATGCGTAGTGATGGCACGGCCAGCTCGCAGATTATGCCACGTGCCTGCTGCTGGACAGAAGTCTAAGCCAATTCTCTCCAGTTTGAAGCGCAAACTCGGCCTGGCAAACCCTGCAGAGCCGCTGAAAGCTTTAGAAGCTTGTGACACGGGCAGATGTCCAGCAGCCTGGCGACTCTGCTTTCTCTTGCTCAAATCTTGCAAATAGCAGGCGAGCAGATTGGACAAAGTGTTTTCACGTGACAAGTGACGCCGAGCCACAGTTTCTGCCCAACAGTTCGACTTTGACTCCGATCTGCTCCCTGCCACGTTTCACCACTCAAAGCACGTAGGGTCTGGCTTCCTGAGGGGCAGGAGACTAGATGCATCTGCAGAACCGAGCCATGTTACGTTACATTCCACTCTTCCTCAACGGGTTTTGCAGTATGTGCTGCAGCGTCAACTGAGCCTTGACAGGGGCGTTTTCGGCTTTGACGAGAGCAGTTTCCTCGGCTTGCATGGTGGCAGAATGCAAAGAGTCTTAAAGAGTCCCTTATGGTGCTTGCTATAGCTCCTGTGCCTCGTCCATGTAGTCATGCTTTGCCGTCTGAAGAGTCCGATGCGTTGCCAGGCACGGAAGTCCTGTCTTCTGGGAAGCACGGAAAAACGCGCATGGGAACCATCAGAGTCTTCTGAAGACAAGCGAAGCTCTTACTCATGGAACAAAGAGGAGGCCGCCCTTTTCCTCCAAAGTCAAGTCGGGAGTGAGGGAATAGGTCACAAGATTCAGAAGAAGCTCAGTGGCATCGACTGAATACCATCTCAGAGTAGACCATGGCTTTAAAGGCCTTCAGCTTCTCATTCCAGCTCAGACTATGCGGTAGTTCGTCCTGCGATTGGCGGCATCAAACCATGCACGGGACGATGGCCCAATTTTGCGCAAGCGGCGGAGAACACAAATGATCGGTGGATCGTAGTTTCGGGGGCGGGGGGAGGGGGGCGGTTCAAAGCTCTGTTGCAACTGGCCCACTGTCCTGCTAGCTTGGGCTGCCGCTCTGGCAGGGGCAGATATGTGTACATGGCTGACTAGTAGACGGAGCAACCGCATTTTCGAAGTTGGAGCTTGCTAGGCTGTTAGGGTCCAGGGCCAGGGCGGCGCTTTTTCCTTCCGGCAGCTTGCTGGCTTGAAGTATCGCTGGCCTGTGCAGGTTGCTTGGGGATGTAGTGGGCAGTTGGCTTCTGGCTTGCACGGGCTTTGGACCCAGTCTGCAAGCCTCCGTGGTTGGAGGGGCAGGCAAGGCCGTGGAGCCCTGCTTTGCTTCAAAAAATGGAGCCCTCGGTCAAGGCTGTATGCTTCTTGCGCTCAGTTTTGCGAGGTGCGGGCCCTTGCTGCCGAATCTGGAGGGCCTCCTGTCGGCCTTCGAGCCCCAGCTTCGGCTTTCTCTCTGCACTTAGATGGTTGCGGCTTCGTGGGCATGCAGCGCATCGCGCGGCTGAACATGTGCTTACACTACACTCATGTGCGTCATCAGATGTTCTATCGGTGTGTCCATTTGCCTGCCTGTCTGACTGTCTATCTGTCCGTCCGTCTGTCCGTCTGTCCGTCTGTCGTCCGTCCGTCCGTTTGTCCGTTGGTCTGTCTGTCTTCGAGAAAGTATGCCATGTAAGCCAACGGGTTCACCGGACTGAATTCAAACAGTATTGTAGAAACGCAAATAGACAACAAATACTGTGCGGAGTATACATACACTGGTGCATACCGATCTCTCCTCTTTCTCTTCCCTTCTCTTCTCCTATCTCATCTCTTCTCTGCTCTTGTCTCTTCTCTTCGTTCTCTCCTCTCCTCTCGCCTCTCCTGTCTCCCCTCTCCCTGTCCCCTCTCCTCTCTCCTCTGTCTCGCTCTCTCTGCTCTCTGTCTCTCTCTCTCTCTGTCTCTGTCTCTCTCTGTCCCTCTATCTCTCTGTCTCTCTCTCTCTGCATGCCTGAAGTCTGAAGACTGCGCCGATGCAGGAAACCAGATTCGGAAAGCTAGGCGGACCGATGCAGAAACGCGTGCGGCCGATGAAAGAGATGCAAAAATGCAGAGTTCCGTTTCAGCCGAATCATTCCCCTGCGACTAAGATGATATGCTGCTGATGCTACTGCTGCTGCTGTTGCTGTG